GTTCATGTTAAACAACCTTGTAATATATTCAATGCGCTTTGTTCCATCTAGTATTGAATTGTGTTCAATGATACCACAATACTCGATACCGAACCCTTCGTGCGCCCCTAAAAAGGTTTTTATAATACAAATTTTAAATGATTAGCCTGCACACTTTCGTTTTTTTTGAAAAGCGGAGACAACGAAGGCTCCGATAACACACAGCCCCGTGACAAATGTATGTTTGATCAACAAACATTTGCGCCGGGGTGCTCGAAGCGGCACTCGTTATTATATCCGCTCGCTACGTCCGAGTTATTATAACGGCGATTTTAATAATTCCCATTTGCGACCCGACCATTGTTAAAATATAATTCCGACAAATAGAATTAATAAAAAAATATTTCATTACATTCTTACATTGCTCTGTTAACAATGAGTGTAACGAGCTATGTTAAATTCCCCTTTTGCAAAAAGCTGTACGTATACTTAATTACCTAATAAAACATTTCAATTTAATAAAAACCTAATCCGAGAAAAAAAAATTAATCGTATTCGAAATTTGAATTAACGTATTTACTATTAAATTTTTAACCAAACAGCGAGCGAACGACAGCGCCGTTATAGTAAGTTACGCCGTTATCTAAAAAGCATAGAAAAGGTAAACTTTTCGAAAAAGTTTATCCCAAGTAAATTATGCTTGCTAGCTCGCTAGTTTGATTTATTCACAGATTTTATTATGATACTTGATGACGTTTCTTTACTTAATTCATTACTTCTTGTTTTAAGAAAATCAGAAAAAAGCAAGCAACTCAAAACAATATACTTAGGTAAAGTAAGGAGAAGAGATCCTCATCTCCTCATTTTTTTTATAAAGTTTCTTCCTGATAATGAATTAGTTATTGACAAGTTCGAAAAACTTGTGGGAAATTCACGTATCTGAAACGGGATAGAGCAGTTGTGAAGTAGAAATACATAGAGCGAGTGCGTAATGCGCGGGCACCTAATCTCTAATGTAATCATAGTAACTTTGACTCGTTTATTTTGGTGATATAAAGTTAAAAACTATTACACGTCACAAATTATTCCAAAATAGCGAGAGTTTAAAATGCCCGAGCAAGGTGGCTATAAAATTTTAGACACATTATACTATTTTTTTCAACGTTGAATATTTTATACTATATTAAGGGGATGTAAACTACTTAATAAAAAAAATGCATATTTCGCATTAATTGTGAGTTAGATTATTTAAATTACTTTTTTCAATCCTTTTATTTTTAATTTTCAATATTTTCTCTCCGGCTGTTACATTTTTTTTATCGTCAAAGCGTTTCATTGCGTGGGGTTCAAAGTCTTGTGAGAAGATTAAATAGGGGTTACCGTGATAATGGTTCGAGAGCCCCGATTTGGGAGTATCGAATTTCTCCCTGTGTGTCGTATCCCTTGGCTGTTTCCGCACTGATTACGTGCAAGTCGTGTGTGAAATGTTCAACGGATGGCTAATTGCAGATCAGTTTAATGCTCAATTGGAACATCAAAGGCAGTCAATGTTAACACTACATATGAAATTGCGAACGGCTTCCCAATCTGACAGGAAAAGAGAAAAAAAATCGCCTGGAAAATTGTGAATAAACTCAAATGTTGCGTAGAAATCCGTGTAATAAAATCATTGTAATAAAAGAACATTAAATTCAAGCTTGTGTACAAAGGGTACTTTTTTTATAAAGCTGGAGTCTCGGAATGCAAGGCATTTTTATTATTATAAAGGCAGAGCAAAAAACTCCATTATGTACACCTGATGTGTACGTACGTAGCCTAAATGCGAAATAGAATATACTCTTTGTAGTATTTTCATTTGAGATTTTGCCTAAAGCCGAAAATAGATTTTGATTAAAAAAAAACATTGCAGGTCTGCACTACAGAAAAACTTCGAAGAATTATAAATATTGTTTGTGCTTTCGCATAGTAATGTATGGACGAAGAATGATATATATAAAGGAATAGATCATATACGGAATAATGAGAGCGAAGCTTTTTCCAACTCTGCATACTTATTCAATTACCTTCAATTTAATAAGTTCAGGCTTCATTTAATGGAAATTTTAAGAGCTCTGTTAATACTTTTGCTGATATCAACTTTTATTTAATCATTTGTTAAAAAAATCCTTGGTCTGTTAAAACATTGTTTTTCTGTCCGATGGGGTAAATTGACACGATGATATCCGTTAGCCTACCCTGTTTCCAATAGCTGAATGAATTTTGTTACATTCTGGAAAGAAGTTTAGTAAAGTTATAAAAACAACAAATGAATTTAGCAGTAACATTAATAGAATAAAAAAACGCGTTTTTTTTCAGAATATTTTTTTTTGTTATTCCAATAGACGAATGCATTTTTTACATTTTGTAAACAAGCTCGGTAAATTCTAATAAAAAGTTTTAATACAGCAATATTAATTTTAGCAGTGTCATAAATAGAATAAAAATTAGCGTTTTTTCTCAAAACTATGTTTTTAAGTTATGTCGGTTTTTTAGAGGATGTGCGACATCCTTACAGTTTGTGTCAAAATTATCTAGGAATCAAATACGCGGACGCGGTGAGGTCCCTCAACGGGGATCTCGCGGTACCGCACTTAACAGCGTAGAGGGTATTCGCAGGGTTTTTTAGCCGCCGCGCGGACTGCTTAACGGCTTTTCCGTTTCGCACCCGTAAGACTTGCGAGAGGCTAGGTGAGAGGTCCGTTAGTTGATGTGAACCTTAAGGGCGCCAACGTCTGTTATTAGAGGTTTTGTCTGCGTAATAAAAAAAAAGGAATCAAATACACAACGCACAAACGCAATTGATGTTGCACAATTTAAAGATCTGCAATTAAACTTGTAAAATGTAAGGTCATTGTTAACTGATACATTTGAATTTAAGTAAAAAGTCAATCTGGAAGACTGAATTCAAAAGATTGGATAATTTGTAATGAGAAAATATGTACCTGATTCCTCTATACAGAAGCCTGAACAACAATCTAAAGTTTCAGGTCGAATATACGAGTATAAGCTGCATAAATAAATCCTAGAGATATCTTTTAACGATAAATACATACATCTGCACATTTTCCTTGAGACATTTCTTTTCACGGTGGATATTTTTGATTGAAAATAACCGAGTCAGAGAAATCCATAGATATCTTGTCTTTACATCTACGAGGAGGGCATGTAAAAATGATGGCGGCTTTGAGAGTTTAATATAGGATTACACCATTCGATCCATCAGCACCCAGCGTAATCTGTTTAGAAAACTCCCTGTTTTGTGAGTACTTTAGACCCCATGTATATTTTATAGGACCATTAGACTTTACAAAATACATTCCTTTTACTCAATTCAATAGCTATAAACACATAAACATTTATGAGGTAAACATTTCCTACCAATCCATTTTATTTATTTAATAATTTATTGTACACGAAATAAAAATACATAAAAAATACTTAAATAATTACGTACAAAAGGTGTGGCTTATTTCTCTAAGAAATCTCTTCCAGCCCACCTGCGATAGGAGCTATGCTGGGAGACATAAATGTCGCGTGTACCTACACTAAAACATATTAATAAAAAAATATAAAATAAATGCATATCAACTATATGAATAAAAATATGTAAACAGTATATAATAAATACATAAACATATACAAATAAATATATAAATGAACACACAAGAAGTTTCGATAGGAAAAAAAAAACACCTGAGAGAAAAAAAAACAAAAAATTATGTCAAGGACAGATATATTCCTTAACTATTTTTTTAAAAAACGGAAGTGTTGTGATGTCTCTTATTTCTGAGGGCAGGGCATTCCACAACTTCACTGAATAAACTGTAAATGAGTCGCTGTAGAAGTCGGTACGGCAATGGTTGGGTAAACCGTCCATGTAAGTATAAAATTAACGTTCAAAGTTAAATTCGGTCAAAAGTTATTAAAAACTCAGAGCCGGCTAAATGGGTGGAGGAGCATAATTTTGTTTTGGTTTTAGTCCCAATAACCCAACCTTATGACCTTGGGAAATGGAAACTAGAAAAAAGTGATTGGATTAAAATTACTTATAGACGTTATATATGTATTATTTAAATTCATTTAAGTGAATCCTATATGCATTATTCTATGCCAAAAACAGAAATAACAAGTTCAATAAAAGAAAGAGAATATAAACACCATTGAAAAGTTTTGGGAATTGAACTTGGAACTTTACAATGGCGTTGTTCAAGGGCGTCGCCAGCCGATGCCATAGAGGGGGGGCAAGAACATACGGGTACATAAAAGTATGAATTGTGGGTACATGAAGCTTCAGTTGCACTTGCAGCTGGGACCAACGGCTTAACGTGCCTTCCGAAGCATGGAGGAGCTAGAGATAATTTTTTTTGGTCACTCATCCAATGACAGGGCCATTGCGAAGGTTGCTTAACGTCCACGATAGCACCTGCGCCATCGAGCTCCTCTTAAGTAGTCTTGTTAAAACTAAATTGGAATCTATTTTAAGGCATATAGAACTCCTAAGAATAAAGGACTTGGATAATACCTTGAAGTAGGAGAGTACGGAAATAAAAATATCTCTTGGAGACATCCGAGTCTCGGTCAAAATAGCCTTCTGCCGAGCGTCTTACTAATGCCTCCTTAAAATTTAATTATACTGAGAACTTAAAAGGTACTTCGTTTCTTTAGAATTACTAGTATCCAATTATTTATTTTAATGTTAAAAGGTTAAAACAACAATCATAACGGACAGCGTCCTTTTAAATGCAGAAGTGAGTTTGTTTGTTACTCAATCACGCAAAAATGGCTGAATGTATTCGGATGAAATTTGGCACATGTATACTTATATTTCCTGGATTGAGACATGGGATACTTTTTATCTCGAAAAAAAAAGATACATATTTACAGTTAGCAATAAAATTAAAATTAATGTAAAAAACAAACAAACATCGTTTAACCAAAAAAACATCGAAATTCGTCTGATATTCAACAGAAGGAGACATGACATGAACATGAAGGAATCGCTTACTGTAAAACCAAGAATTGAATGGGATAATAGAGGTATTAACCCTTTCGATGTCACCGCGGTATCCTTGACTGTCACATGTCATCAAACGGAGCATTGCAATTCAAGTAGGTAGTTAAATAATTCATCCTTTTTACAAATCCTTCTTATAGATTTTTTTATTAGAGTTTCGTAGCCAAATGGCAAAAAACGGAACACTTATGGAAAATTCGTCATGTCTATCTGTCTGTCCGTCCGTCCGTATGTCGCAGCCACTTTTTTCCGAAACTATAAGAACTATACTGTTTAATATCACTCATTGAAGAGAATACGAAGATAGTAACAATTCTTGAAGAGTGAACATTGCTTTATAAGACCTTAACCTATCATGAATAGAATCAGCCCAAAAACGGTTCTAGGTATGTTTTGTTATCTCACAATCTCCGTTGTTGTGTTTACAACTGGGATGGGCAAATCGTGATAATAATAAATGAGCAGATTTTGGCGGATCTCAATCTTTGTTTCAAATTTACATTCGTAACTTTTGCGCGACCCCTTTCGACTTACAAAACACCGGTATCACCACGCGAGTAAAGACAAAATGAATCCTAAAGGAGTGTACACAGACAAAATGTTAAGTGCGCGTGTGTTAGTGAGCACTGGAGCCTTTTCTCTGCGTGCGCGTTAGGCGTCACAGTGCGTACACACACGTAAAGGATAAATATGCATGTAATTCAAATAAGGCATTTTTTTTATAAACTCTATCTTGAATTTCCTACCATTCAAATATCTGGAACGCGACAGAGCGGTTGTGACGTAGAAATACATGATAACAAATCAACAAACAAGCGCCATGTTCAAAGGATATCAAAATCAAAGAGAACTAGTGCGAGTGTGTAGTGCGCGCGCACCTAACCTCCTAATCTAGCTGTGGACTAGTTTGTTTTGTTGCTATGGACTGTGACGTCAAACGCAGAGTTCCAAAATAGCGAGCGTTTAAAATGGCTGTGCAAAGTGGCTATTTTATAATTTATTTTAGGCACATTACACTATTCTTTCGACAGGGAACGTAAATTTTGAAATAAAAAAACAAAACAAACATGTATATTCCGTATTGAACGAAGCTTTGTCTCTGTGCCTTCTTTATTCATGCGGTAGCACCCCAGTTTGAGAAACACAGAACTAGATTATGGGTATTTGTTAATGTGTACGCCGAGCGACAATACGTTTCCCCATATTCAAGGGATGGGGATTAAGGCATTAAGATATTAGCATGTTGAACATTTTCGCGAGCGTAATAAGAGTGTAAAGTATCAGACATATGTGCGATCGCATACACTGATTTTGGGGTGGACGTGGTCGCTGCTTTAATTATGGCCTTCCCTATCCCTCGTTTTGGTCTGAGCGATTACGAGATTTAGCTCCCGAAAAGGGGGAAACAAATTTTTGGGGTACCTACATTGGGAAATTACACGTGTGTCAAACATATTGAACAGTTGGTAAATGAAGTGCTCTTAATGGTTTCGAATACAAAGGGTGTCGAATGGAACCTTATTATTTTATATTTCGTATATTTTTTACATTAAATAATTCACTAGTTTGCGTAATATGCCTCCGCTGTCTGTACGTTTGTTAAAGGGACCTTTTTCTTAAACGGGGATATAGGTAGACATTTGAAATTGCTGTTAAAAATTAAATGTAGTTCTGCTCGATCACTTCCTTTCAGATTAGTTTATTTTATTTTATTCATGGTTTTATTTTTTTTATATATCTTATATCTTTGGCTTTTTGCTTTCCACTGTACAATACTGGAGTAAAAACTGTTCCCACAATTAATCCTAAAGGAATTTCCTAACTTATTCCCTAGTTTCTATCATCCTCCTTAATAGTAGTTAAAAATTAAATAGGTCTCCATACATGAAACGTGTTTTTGAGATTTTTTTTTAAAGCTTAACCATCGTTATTATTGTGAAATTAGCAGGGGTTGCTGCTGTCTAAAAACAAGGTGTAATTTTTATGTAAAAAGTGTGGCAAATATGGGTTTGGCCCGCCTGATGGAAAAGCAACCACCATAGCCTACAGAAATTTGCGATACCAAATATATCACTCGCAACGTTGCCTACCCTGACCTAATCCCCCTACCCCGTGGAGCCCTGGAACCTTATCACCGATAGAAACACAACACCACCAAAAGCTAATGTTATTTTACTGCTGTCTTCTGTAAGGCGGTGGACGACCCCCATGACCGAGTGGTTTGTACACCGGGTTTCATGGTGTCGCCGACTCGAGAGGACCCGGGTTCGAGTCCCGGTGGTTGCAGATGTTTGTGTGATGAATACGATTTCTATATAAATATACTTAATTATGTTTCAGTATATGTATTCTATCCGTTACCCTAGTATCCCATATCACAAGCCTTAAAGTGTTTACTTTGGAGCTAGGCTAATAATTGGTTTACGTAGACGGGTAGGCCGAAGAAGGCAGGCAGCCGTGTCTGCCGGTCTTCGACGGCCTTAAGGTGTTCTAGGAGCGGCTTGGCCGCCGCGTGCCCTAGGTGCCATTCGGCATAGGCTACCCCGTCTGGGGATTGCCTAGTACCCTAGCGCAATCCCCCAGAGGCGTGTCTCCCGGTCCACTCGTTGGGCCGGGCCAGCCTGGGGGCGTCCCGGTGAAATGGCGCACTGGCAAATGGCAAACAGACGGGCGCTCTAATTCGAGTGAAAATTCCGCTATGCCTTACCTCTCTCAAATATATTGAACGTTTTTGATGACCATTAGTAGCCAATGTTCAACTTTTTAGTAAAAACACAAGGTTTTGAAAGTAAGAAACTTGCATTTGAAAGTTTAATTGAATTGGAGGCAATACTCTTACGTACACCGGTTAAGCAGAGCGCTATTCTTAAAGGAGGATGTGTAATATTTTCTAAGTAAATGAGCTGGCTTTCCTTGTAGGTGGGTAACTACTAAACATCTTTGTAAACTGCAGCAGGAGTGAACAACAAAGTTTACTGACTACTTGGAACTTTTGGAGCACTTTAATTGCTCCCTGCTAATTTAATTTCTAGAAGTAATAGTTATTTATTATACAAGAGTGGAAAGTTCCTTTTTAACCGCGTGCTCGATTTGGATGACCGAGCAAGCGAAGGATTCTAAAGTTGAATCACGAGCGCAGCGAGTGATTCTAAATTAGAATCCTGAGCGTCAGCGAGGGAAACAAACGAGCACAAGGTGAAAAATCTTTCCACTCGAGTGCAATACGTAACTTTTCATCCCACCTCAGCGAGGAAATGACAAAATGAAAAAGAAAACAATTTATAATGACAAAATATTTTTATTTCAATTAAAACACATTAAGATAATCTATAAATTGAAGAAAATAATAAGAAGTAGAAAATAATTAAGAAATATTAAATGTAACGTTGCTACAGTTACTTATGTTAAGTTTAATATTTTTGTTAGGTAATGTTATGTTGGTGTTTGTGAATTGTGCGCTGTTTTGTGGTAAACTACTCGTATCAGTAATTTTAAATAGTTGTGCCGATTCATTGGATTCTATTGGCGTAAATGTTGGCGAGAGAGGGCTATTGTTTCCAATCTTATGGGGGCTCATTTTAGATGTAGAAGGGCGAGACCAAGAATCTGACAGAGGTTCTTTCAGCGTTATGGCCTCCACGATACTATTACAAATTTTTGATTTACTTTGGATTGAATCCTCTATGTATCCCTCTACAACCGAATTAGACTTCCAGCCTCCATGGCGCTTAAGCGATAGAAGATCAGCCCCTGATTCGGCCAAAAGTGTGGCTGAGGTTCTTCTAAAACAGTGACCGGTGTATAACGGGGGTTCTAAAAGTCCGAGAAAAGTTGCTATTTCTCGTGGAATACTGCCAATTTTATTCTGACCCATAGGTTGTCGGATACACTTTCCGTTGCGATATTGTAGAAAAAATCGTTCAATTGGGGTGTTAGAAGGACGTAAAGCTTGATATTTCTGAACAATGTTTACATATTCCTTGCGAATAACGAAGTTGCGGTCTTTTTTTGTCTTGGTATTTAGTACATTAATTAATAGCAATTCATCAGAATTATGAGAATATTTTGATACGTTATTGACATTAAGTAGTGTAAGTTCATTTGTTCGACATGCTCCGGTTATACCAATAATAAGAACAACCTGTAACAAAAGAAGTATTTATAATCGTAAATAAATTAATCAAATTAAAAATATTGTAAGTACTATGTACAATTTTATCAACAACAAAAAATTACACGTATTGACTTACTTTTGCCGCTAAATATACGGAATCAGGTGCTTCATTAATAAACTTTGCAATTTCAGATGCTGTGAAAACCTTCGATTTTTTTGGTTTATAACCAGATGAGGCTCTTTTTAAAAATGCCACTAATTTATGATAGGTGTCGATATGAACGTCTTTCTTCATCTTAATTGTTAATTTTAGCATTGAATACGTACTCCATAGCGTGCTTGCTTTCTTGGTCTCAGATAATTCTATAAAATATGCCAGCAAAACGTTTTCGGAGAAAGTTTTTGCTCCTTTAGCTAGTCGCCACATGTTAAATATATCGTACTGTTTCAAATACTTCTCTCGTGATTGCTGAGGGAGAAGGCTCATTTGCGCATTATTAACTGTTTCAGTTAACTCAGTTGGCGTTAGATAAACTTCATCGTCGCTAATGTCACTCATTTTAGTTGATTTTTTTGTACAGTTTTTAGGTTATGTTAATTATATTAAGCAATAAAACGTGAAAAACTAGAATGGCGCGAAGCACGCAAATAAAACAAAGAAACCAAGAAGGTTCCAAATTTAAATTTTTTCACAATTTAAAAAGTTCTAATCATAAATTTGGCACCATAGAGGTTACATTAAATAGGTTTAATGACGTTTTGAATTTACAATTATATTGAGTACTCATTATATGTGATGTTCTAAATTCAAATCTACTTTGCCGCTCAAGCGAATAAAATAGAATTTTCCAGCCAGATTTCGAAGCGCAAAATTACACTTTCCGAGGTGGTGGGATGAAAAGATAATTGTTAGGCAGCTTCAACAAAATGTAGGTAAGAAAGTAAAAAAACATGTAATTTTTTTATGGAAAAGAAAACTCAAGCCCGACAGAAACGAAATGTGTCTCAGATTTTGAGTATTATAAGGTGAAATAATATTGTATCTATAGGCATCTTCGAAATCGATGGATAAATTAGTGAAATTGCTATTTTATTTATCTCCACCTTTTTAAAGTCGGTTAAAAATGTTGCTAACTGTTCAAACCCAAGATAATTAATGCCAGACATTACATGAGCGCAGCTGCCCAATGTTCAACACAGGCTTCTTTTTCAACGATAAAAAAACCTTTCAATTGTAAAATAGCAATTTTACATACTTACCTTTCTACTAAAACTCGACAACACTTACTCCTTATTACTAAAACTCGAAGATAGATTTCATTTGAGTCGGGCTTGGCTTTTTTAGCACTGCCCTTTCTTTAGGAAAAATAAGTCCAAGTTACTATTTTAATTATTTGGTTTTATTTGAAGAATTTATTTAATGTGTTCAGCATACTTAAGTTGAATGTAGGCCCACAGTTATCGTTTCTTAAAACACAAACCCTTTTATTAATAAACAAAGAATAAGCTGGGACTAGTTACGCCGTGTTTTGTTCATATCACTCAAATGCCATTGGTCATTCATTCAACAGAGACAAAACACGGAGTAACTAATCCAAGGTTACTCTTCGTTTATTAATAAGGCGCAAAAGGAATAGCAAGTAATTTTATTTAACAACTAGTAACGTAAATGAATTTCAGAACATTTATAGAGAACAGTCCATTAAAACGTGCACAATATAGAGTTTCTAAGACGCCATCTCATTACAAACACTTTTGTTTTACTATTCCTAAGAAGGGAAATTGTTCTTGAATACCAGTACAAAAAATCCTTACGGCCTTAGAAACATGATTGCAAACAAGAATGTATGAAGAGTTTAATGATAAAACTTCCTTTGAGCGAGAACAATATCATAGAGAACTCAAACATTGTTTCATTTTCTTTCACTTCACCAAAGCTCCATGGAAACTCTTGCTGTGGTATAATCTTATAAGACACTTTAAAGTAAGAGTTTTGATGTATTGCTCGACGATATCATGTTACGAGTATTATAAGGTTTTTGAAACCGTTCCAAAAACGAGGAATGGTAAAGTTGTTAAGAGCGGGTAGTTCAAATCGGCTGGTCAGCTTGAATTGTTTATTAATTAAATAAAATCAAAAACTTCGGAATTACTCAAAATATGAGTCAGACTAGCACACTATGTGTTTCATACCATATTACAAGGTTAATAAAAATTGCAGTACAGTCAATCCCTTTTTTGTATGGTACCCCTCGATTGTTTAACTTTATTTATTTTTATTATTTGTGATAGCAGAGACTGGACAGTACTGAACACGTATTCTGTGGACATTTCAGATGTATCAATACACTAATCAGCAGAGTATAGGGACTTTTTAGATGAGTATTAATTGCCGTTCAAGAAATGGAAGACTTTAACAAAATCGTTCATTCAGTTTAAGCATTTTCATGCACTTGTAAATGTCTTAAAGCTACGCTATCAATTCGCAAATCTACGACGGAAGGCCTTAGAATATAGTTATTAATTTTGAACACTTTAATTTAAAAACGTCCTTTTATCTTTTACAGGAGCAGTACAGCGGTTCATAGAACTGCCGACATACACAGAGGTCAACCCGGGCGAGGATGCGTTGCTGAAGTGCCGGATATCCGACAAGAAAGGAGTCTGCTCCTGGCAGAAGGATAATAAGGTACGCCCCGACTTTACACGTCTGCAAAAACTGTTGGTGTCGAACAAAAGACGAACGGAAAAGGATTTCGAAACGGAACGATCCTGACGTCATTTTATTCATGCGAATGTAATGTCCATATAGGTAGGTACTTAATTTCTGTTATCATGTATTGGCGTTATCGGGCCCAATCACCGCCTGCAAAAACTGTGGTATAGAAAAAAAGAGGAACAGAAAAGGATTTCCAAACGAAATGATCCTGACGTCATTTTATTCATGCGAATGTAATATCCATGTAGGTATATGATCTCTGATATCATTTATTGGCGTTTTGGGCATAATCCGACATAGTTTTAATACGATTCAGAGTAATTGTTAAATACACTATGAATATTCATACCCGTTTCTATTGTTACCAAAATGGTTTTTGCCTACGTAAAGGATTTTGATGTTAATGATAATGAACTTCAAATGTGTGAATTTATGATTGTAATAAGGCTTTAACATTTTATTGATAACGTTCTCACAAATATTCTCAAACTAAATAGAGGAGAGCATTATGATTCATTGTTACTCATTTTGATAGGCAAATATCTAGATCTGAGTACCGCCGTAGCTACGTAGCATGGCGCAGTTAGCATTGTCACCATATCTTTATTGCGGACTCCAATTCCCAGTAGATAATAGATAACAAACTCAAATTCTTCTGTATTGTCTCGGATTTTGGGTGTTTAGAAGTTAATTGGGATTTCCAAAGTGCAAGAACGCTACCAGTTTAAGTTTATCGTCATACCAGAACAATGAATGCGATATCCAATCAAAACGCCTAATTATCTTGCCGAAGTTTTTTGCACAAATAATTCAAGTTATTTTTTTATTTTGCTTTATTATGATAAAGGTACAATTTAGTCTCTTTAAAACATTGGACTTAAATCTAAAACTATGTAAATATGCTTTAGTATAGAGCTGTATTAATTTGTCTTTTTACCTATTGTATCCGGATGAGTCAAAAGTCATTATCCAAATTGGAGACATAATCTTTTGAATGAAACACAATTTTGTAAGATTCTTTTTAAGTATATTGAAAAGGTATTAATAAAAAATCATCTCACCAAGGTTTATCATAATATATAAACAGCTTATTTGCAACGATTGGAACATTTTTAACCCAAGGGAATAAAGATTGATAAGGAATCACACACTGCAGTCAAGTATAAAGTTTATAAATTACTCCATAATTAGTTCGACTGTCCCTTAAAACTTCGAGTGTACACATTTCGTCTGTCGATCAGATAACTTTGACATTAGTAATTAAGATAAGCTAAATGCAAACATACAAATTGAACGTAAGATACCCACTAAGTGTGGTCCTTTCTTGTCTTGTAATCTTAGAGATACCGTTTTCGACTATCCCCTTTCATGTTTTTTGAAACTATTTTACTCATAGTACTGATAAATCAGTAGACACATTCTAAATTATGTAATAGAATGTGACTTTATGAAATGTCTCTTAATAAAGTAATTTTTTGACTTAATGTCCCTTTAAATACAGAAAAGAAATACATCCCTTGCCAATCCGAATGAATCCCTTATATTTTTTTACTCATTATACTGCTTTATTCATACAACCTAACGATTTCTTTTTCTAGTAAAATTTTCATTAGCCATTTTCTTTGCTTTATATTGGGTTTTTGACGGCTTTCCTCAGTGCAAGTTCTTTCGCGCCGTGGAGTTGCGAATCTGGTGTAGTTTTTCGACATTCATTATAATATGTGCTTGTAATAGCCTAAACTAAATAATATTTATTTCTATAACATTAACGTGTACAAAAGAAGTTAAACATCCATGGTTTAAATTTTAAATTCAATATATTCAATTACGAATTTTTGAACATTCGCAAACATATTTGTTTCTTAAGTTTTCACGCACATCACTCATATTCACGCACATCACTTATAAAAAAAAAATAGTTTTTACGGGTTAATGCAAACTTTATTTATTTATTGACGTTTCGTAGCCTTTCCAGGCTACGTCGTCAGAATCAAACTTCGCAAACAGTCAAATCACGTGTTGACTAAGCTACGTATAGGCACTTTTTAATCTCAATCAGGTGCTTACAATGAACGCTCCCAGGTATCTGCGTGGTTATCAGTGACTAATTGATACATTAGGGTCTTCAGAGCGACAGTTTCATTACGGAGTTAGACACGATACGGAATGTGGTCAAAGTATTTAGACGAACATACCGTACGTACATACCTTGTTAAATTAATGTGTTCGCCTTAAAACAAATGAATTTTGGGTTATCTGAGAAACTTTACTTGCTAACCCAGGCAATAATTTAGATTATATTTCCGAAAAAAAAATTTCAAGTTAAATGTCATTGATCCATTTAAAACATTTGAAAAAAAATGTAACTTCTCATTGAGCCCTTTCATTTAACATTATTTTATATATTCACGGTACAGTTGCTAAATTTCAATTTTTAATTTACTAATTCACACTCCTATTCCGAATTTATTTATTAATTTTATTCGTCCGTGCTAGGGTCACAGAAAGCTTACGTGTATGTACCAAATTTCAACTTGATTGGTCCCGTAGATTCCGAGCAAATAGACAGACAGAAAGACAGACAACCGAGTGATCCTGTCAGAGTTCCGCTTTTTCTTTGGAGGTACGGAATTCTGAGATGACATTTAAATTAGGCAAGGTAAATTATACATAGGCATAAATTTGTTTTGTTTCCAGGAAGGTATCGTTGCTGGCCTAACACTTTTTTCAGTTCATTAATCTTCGTTTGTCACTTCGTTTTTGAGCCTTTCAGCAATCAGCGTTGGTTTCTCAAAGCTTTTTCCGCCTATTCTTTCACGTTTATCCTTCTTTGGATATAAAAATTGATTAATTAGCTTTTTTCGTGAGTGTATCAACGCAGCTTTGGTTAAGCTTTTGTAGTCTGTGGATATTTTTTTATGTTTATATTATTCACATTGTTCTTTAGTCTAATATTACTCCGAAAACAAAAGGATTGCAGGGGTAAGATACGTTAAAAATCCAAAAATATTGTGATTGTAACAATAATTAAAAATACAATGAGAATTAAGTAATTTGAGATGATTTTACTCAGTAACAATTAATGACAAATGTTTTACAACTATTTATAGAGTAATATTTTTCAACATTCTAAATACTTTCTCGAGTTTTATCATAGTAATTATTATTTTATTGTAAAAACATTGCATTGCTGAAAAATATATCTTTTTCTTATACTACCGGATCCGCAACTTCGTCCGATTAAATAAATAAATAGAATAAAATTTTCCGGTATAAAAAGTATCCTATATCTCAAAACAGGTTACTAGTTTTTGCGTGATTGCGTAACAAACATACAAAGTTTCAGATATATGACATTAGTGGGAAGTTGAATTATCGCTTCTGCTTCCGCGTACACAAATCCATTAAAACGTATCTGAGCAACCAAACTTTACAAACCTCCTTACTACACTGGATGCATTCTCGTGACACGTGATAAACTGCAGAAACGCAGATAGTGACTTGAAGTTCGTACGTTTTAAACCCTTATCTACAAGTTAAAAGTTAAACTGGCTGTTTAGTATGAACAATAGCCTCGTTCGCGATCAGAATCTTAACTAGGCTTAGTCACGACCGTGGAAGTTAACCACGTCCGAAGCCCATGGTTCCTGTTGGGCTACAAATTAAATTTTAACGGTCTTTTCCTTGAAATTTAAGGCAAAAATGCTGTACGGGTACGTACTGCGCACTTTCTTCGCGAGGGAACGTGCTAATTTTGTTTTTGAGGAGAGAAAAATTTACGCTTGGCTTAGCTACTGACGAATTCAAATTATGTTGGATTATATGCTTTAGGTATTATTCTGAGATGTGTTCGCGGTTCTTTTTCCCTTTCTAGAGAAGTGTCAATTTTATGCTCAGTGTGACAGTAATCAACCACAAACTATTTAACGCGTTTCTTAATATTGTTATTATACATTTTAGCTGATGCATAGCGTTAATAGATCAATATTTTAGAAGAAATGTTTGATGAAGTTAGCCCGCGTTGTTTCATCCGCATTTAAATAAGATTGTAGTTATATCACGACTAATAAATAGTAATTGTGTCAAATTTAGAGTAATGGTTATTTTTTCTCTGGTATTATAACTATAGTCGAATTTAAACACAGGTTTGACAACGCGGCCTTAGTGCTAGACCGCACTACGGCTAAACCGCCGCGGTTTTTAACCGCGCATTTGAATAGGGTACACTGGGGATCTTACAATTTTGAACTTTGGCCCATTCAGCCATCTTAGATAGCATGCAAATATTTTACACTACATTATTAAACGTAACAGATATTTTTTTTACTATGAACGAAGGGAACTAATGCAAGCAGCCGCATCAGCGGTTTTTTGTAACAAACAAGCTTTGTGTAACAAACAAGCTTTGTGTAACAAAGCACGGTTTTAAAATCAGTCGCGGAACGCGAACGGCTCGCGGGTAAAAACCGCGTCAAAATTTGTAGTCCATGTAAATTATATTGGCGCGCACACATTGACGCGATACCGCAGGCGGTTTCTATTAATAGTCGTCAGATCGCCGCCGAAAAGAGCCGTATCTACGGCGTAATCGTGTATGGACGTTCAATTTGTAAAATTTTATAGAAGCGAGCTACTGACATCCGATAGTAGTAAAAAAAAATCTCAGGATATTTTCTTAAATCTTGATCATCATCATCACCAGCCTATTAATTTCCCCACTGCTGGGGCACAAGCCTTTCCTGAATGGAAGTGGATGGAATAGGAGGATTAAGTCATCCATGATAAGGCCTAGCCTTAGTCTTGCTAAAATAGTATTGTATATCATTTCCATTCTGAACTGAAATTTACTCTGGCTGTATTTTTTGCTTTGAAATTCATGCTCGACTGTAGATTTATCATTTTTGGCAAACATAGAGTCAGATTGTATTCGGTAGGGGTAATCGAATAACCTTCCATTAACTTGCTTTTGTGCCTTGTATTGTTATACATAGTAATTTCGACTGGTAGTCGTCATCATCTACATTTTAATATCATACATAAGAATCTTAACAATAACT